CTTTTTATCCTCTCTCTCTCTCTCTCTCTCTGGTTTTGTCTCTCCATCATCTGGACTGACTGGCACCTCTTTGACAAATGACATACGTTGTATTATATCACCAGACCCCTATTTATAACCACCCATCCAGGCCCTAAATGGCTAACCTCCATTTTAGTTCTCACAGCCCCTGCCTTTCCTGCCAAAAAAAAAAAAAAAAAAAAAACCGTGGACCAGGAGTCAAGGGGGGGTTACAAGGATCACCCAGACAAAGTTTACCAGAGACAGGAACTACACCAGCTGGAAGGATGTAATGTCAGACAGCAACATGTTGGGGGCCCAGCAAGGAGACCAAGATATTTTAACCATTTCCTTCTTCCTTTTCTTCTTCTTTTTTTTTTTTTTTCAAGAAACACCGATGTACAAGTTTTGCCAATTTTGTAACCGATTTTTTTTTTCAAGATGACTTCCATTTTGCAACAAAGAAAGAATTTTGACTGTGATTCAATATTTCTGTTGATATAACATTTGCTTTTAACTCGTTCATCATATATAAAGTATATTTTACAATGCAGAAAGATAACCAACAAGTCTCTTACTGCTTTATCGCTACAACCATGGAAAATGTTCGGATGAACTGCAGCTCCTTCATGGCTAGGACCCACCATGCCACCTACATAGTAGCAAACCACCGACATTCCCTTTGTATTTCATCATCGAGAAGTAAGTTCCACTAAAACAGCTTCTTCTTGCCCTATGGAATGGACTCCCATCAAATCAGTACAATCTAGAGTCAACTGTTACCTTGCCATCCTATCTGTGTAAACTGCTTTTTAATGTAACCCTCTACTTCAAGTGTCCCTCGGGACTTGTACAGAGTGAATCTTACTGTAAAAAAAAAGTTTCAATATGACAGACATTTTTACCTGAACATTGCCATATGATAAACTAATGTTTTGCTTGACACTGTCATTAGCCATGACTTCTTGGGAAAGAGAGTGGAGTGATTTTCCGTTGCTCTCAAGTTCTTCTTCGCCTTGCCTGGCTGCTACCGATGGCCTAGCCTACCCTACTACATTGTAGCAAAACACCCACATTCCCTCCCTATTCCATCATTAAAAAGTAAGTTCCACTCGAACAGCTTCTTCCTGCAAACCACTGCTCTGTGGAATCAACTCCTAAGAGGATGTTTCCCCAATTACTTCAGTCTTAACCTGTTCAAGTCTGGAGTTAACTGTTATCTTCCTATCCTATCAATATAAACTGCCCCTTAATGTAACCTTCTACCTTGAGTGGCTCCCGGGCCTTGTACAATGTGAACCTTACCGTAAAAAAATATAATGATAATTTGTGTTAAAAAAAAAACTAAAATAAAATATCATCATCATGACTGGCGGTGTGGTCATAAAGTCGGTGTTCAACTTAGAACCCCAACCAGTTCTTTCCAGATGTCTGTTGCGTCCCAATATTTTAATCTCTGCGAAAGACCTTCCAGTTCACTCTGTGATGTTGTTAGATGATTTTTTCGCCCCTCTGTCTGCTTAGACTTCTTTTGCCTAAGGTGACACCTTGTGAAATGGTAGCAGAATGTGAAATGGTATGCAGAAATGGTAGCAGAATGTGAAATGGTAGCAGAATGTGAAATGGTATGCAGAAATGGTAGCAGAATGTGAAATGGTATGCAAATGGTAAAAATGGTAGCAGAATGTGAAATGGTAGCAGAAAGATTGTTGGCTCTCATGATATGTCCCTTACCATTTCAACTTTATCTTCTTGACGATATACAGAAATGGTGAAAATCCCATTGTACGCAGGGTCATTTTGTATCGATTTAACCAATCAATGTAACCTCCTCCACAAAAAAAAGAAATAAACTTTTTTCGTATTGATATATGTTCACTATTTACATTACTTGGACTATTGTCCTCATCTTTGTCACCATGTGGTTGGAATGTCAAACTGAACCCTTTATTTCACTCACTGGAGTAGACTGTTCTATGGATGTCAGTTATCTCCTGTTAATTCCCCTCTCAAAGTACTCCACAGCCAGAACCAGGTATTGAACTCAGTTTTTGAGTCCTGTCACTAGATCTAACTAACGCCTTTATCCACTGTGCCATGTGTCCTTTATGACATCTGCGTTTGAATTTCTGGGTATTATAAACCTAATGCCTTCAGCAATCATTTTTTTACCAGTGCTCATATTGCAATTTTTTGCTGTTATCTTTGCATGTTTTTTTTACCAAAGCTCATATTCATACGCAGATGTCCTCAAGGATACATGGCACAGTGAATAAAGGTGTTAGTTAGATCCAGTGACAGGACCCAAAGAGTGTGAGTTCAATACCCGGTTAAGGTGGTGGAGAAATTTTTTGTTTTACGGCATATCAACCTCAATGGGTTATTTAATGCCGACAAGATTTTTATTGCTGGTAACATTTTTTTTCCAAATGGTAATATGTTTTTCTTCAAAAATGTATTTCTGTTGATATTTTTTTCTCCAAAATCTATTTCTGGGAATATTTTTCCTTCAAAAAAATGGTATAGCTGGTAATATTTTCCAAAAATGTATAGCTGATAATATTTTTTTTATTGCGGGTAAATTTTTTTTTTTTTTTAAGTATTGCTGATAATAATTTTTCCTTCAAAAATTATTGCTGGTAATAATTTTTTTTACAAAGTATTTCTGGTATTAAAACCTTTTTTTACACTTTCATAGTATTTTGACACAAGTTTGGGTGTTAACTATTTGTCCATAGCTGGGACCCTAACAGGTGCTACCACACCGGGTGAGGGTGGACCAGGAAACACCAGCAATTAAGAGGTGGTTCCAAGCTCCTCAAAACCTCCTGTTCCGGGGCCTTGCTGTTGGACATCGTTTATCGTCTTACCTAAGACACGGATGTAGTTTATCGTCAGACCCAGGACGTCTGCTAAAGGTGGTGAAGTCCATAGGTAACAAAATATTAGGCAAAGATTACATAGTATTTGGGGAATTCATTCCCTAATTTTTAACTCTTCTCTCTTTTTATTTCAATTTTTATGGATGTTTGAATATGCATGACAAAAATAAAATAAATAAAAAAAACATAAACTATGATTAGTATTCAACTCATCCAGTTTGCTTACAGACTTTGAACATAAATCTATGCTACCACACAAAATTCCAATATCACATGAATCACCCCTTGAAGATCTGGAAATAAAAAAGCTGAATTTATCAGAATTTACGAGCACCAACTTTCTTTCTAATTTTTTCTAAATGGAAAGGTTATATAATTTATATTAATGATTCAAAAACAAACATTAGGCTTGAATTTGTCCAGGTTCTGTAACTGGGCCCAGAGAAATTTCTTCTGACAAGTTCTTATATAAAAAATGCATATGACCACTGTGGAGTAATGGATAGTGGCTCGGATTGAGGAATCAGAGAGCCGAGTTCAAATTCCATTCAAATGCATTACATTCGCTTACATCCTAACACCCTTGGGAAAGGTATGAATCTACTTCTTCTCCCCCTAGCTATGGGTAAATAGCAGGATATACCAGGTTATATAGCCTTGGATGACAACTGGTCTATCACAGAAAGAAATGGCAACCGGGGGAAAAAAAGGAAGCATGGTGGAGTAATGGATAGCGGCTCAGACTGAGGAATCAGGGAGCCGAATTCAAATTCCAGTCGAATCTATTACATTAAATTTATCAAAGCCTATTACGAAAATGGATGTTCAAACAGAAATTCATTTTGCACACTTCTCAATTTTTTTGGTCAACATAATCGACCAACCGAGAGTGCAATTGGAAACAATGCAACGTTGTTGTGGAGAGGTTCAATTCCTGAGCGCAATGATGAATAGAGGGGGTCTGGATTTTGACCACATTCTCATGCACTGTAGCAATGTTTTCAGCTGAACGGCGTAAACGAGCACACAATGGTGTTTTCACATCTGCCACTGACCCAGTTTGTTTGAATTTAAGAACAATTTTTCCAATTGCACTCTTGAAACTTTAACACATTGTTTGATTTTTAATCTTTCCATGGTTGAAATTACCAAAGACTTACATTGTTAAATCTGAAAGAAAAAAAAAAGACGCTTAAACTTAATTCACATTTAAAATCAGTTCAAGTTATTGGAACACCCTATATATGGAACCAATATATATGATATTAAATTTCTTAAACTTAATGTTTCAAAAACAAAAAATTCTTTTTCAGTTATTTTAGTTCAAGGAAATTTTAATGGTATTTTTTTTTATAAAGTTCCTAAAAAAGATGTTTTGCAATTTGAAAAAAGAAAAATAAAGCATCATACTTTTTTAAAAAATATTCTTTAGGCAATCTCCATGTCTCTTTGGCACTTGCCCAAAAGCTTGAAGCTAATGGTTTAACTTTAATGTCTGGATTGAATTTATGCAGCAAATGTTATCATCAAGCCAATGCCATGGGATCTTCAGAAGATGAAACTTCTGATCTATCAATGGAGAGTAACCGTGTACAATAATTAAATGACAAATTAACATCTTTACAAAAAAGAGAAAATTTGATACTGTATTCGTATCATTAGATGAGTCACCTTTGAAGTTGCAGAGTGTTCCATCATAGCAATGAAAAAGCAAAGCAAAAAAAGAAACTGGAAAATGTGAAAACAAAAATCACAGATGCCTACAGTCTACCTACATCATTATTAAGCAAAAAAAGAACAAAAATCTCTAAAAGCAAGAATTGCCGTAAAAGGCCTTGATACTCTGACTAGAGCAATGAAAGAGAAGTTGAAATATCCTAGGTACCCTGAAAAGGTACAGATTTTAAAAGTTGCACCCAAATCTTGGTCAAAAGCAAAAAATACTAGGTACCCTGAATAGGTACAGATTTTAAAAGTGGCACCCAAATCTTGACTAAAAACACAAATGCTAGGTACCCTGAATAGGTAGAGATTTTAAAAATTGTACCCAAATCTTGGCCAAAAGCAAAAAGCAAGAATTGCCGTAAAAGGCCTTGATACTCTGACTAGAGCAATGAA